GGGGGGCCGAGCCTCCTCTTTTAGAAAGTAAAAAAAACATGAAAGAAAGAAAAAAAATTGATCGCCCCAAATGCCTCAGAAGTTACTTTTGGGCGTCTCGAAAACAAAAGTTTCGCGGGGGCATGGCCTTGAACCATCTAAGGTGCTGTTATCTAGATCGGCCCAATTTTCGGACAACTCTGGATACGCCCCTGTCTGGATCGGGGTTTTTCTTGTATGAACGCAACCATGAGCGCGTATGTTATTTATCTGGAGCTTGCTAACCGGTGTTGTGTAGCCATTATTATACATTTCTAAGCACTAGTTAGACTTACATCATTACTGCTTATTAGTATAAAAATGCATTATTCAGAGTTAAAGAAATAAGTGGTTCCATTTAATCAAAGGAGACACTTGACTACACAAAGTTTATTGATTTATCCAAAGCTGGGACCAAGATTGGACACTATCGTGGAAGCAAGTCAAGGGCAGGGATTCTGGTTGAGAACAACTGGAACTATGGTTGCTAAGCAGGAAGTTAGCCAATCAGTTGGTATCTAAATAGTCTAGGAGTGGATACAAGGAAGGGACAAAGTTCACTTTCCAGGAATAGATATTAAGGTGATTTCAAATAAATATGCAAAAAACTAAGATGGTAACAATTTAAGGAGTGATTAGAGTTTTGACAAAGTTCTGGTAGGGTGGACCCTGGCATAGATTGGTGTTGGTAATAAAAGTGAACTCAAAAGGGGTTGGGGAGGGGTGGGGAAAAAGCCAGCCCTCATCCAAAAAGATGGTGTGCTAGTGAACCTTGCCCTCCAGCTCAAACACAAGAACAGAGAATGGAATTGAACTGAGAACTGAAGTTATGTAAATCTTCACAGTTCAGCGAACACACAGTGACTACCACCAGTTTAGTTACTCTAAGTTGCCCTCTGTATATGTATATATGCCTGTGTTGTATTCAGGTAGTAGAAATCAACAATGTGGCAGTCAACCGATTGACAACAGTCTCAACTACTATTGTACTACTTACGCCAACAATTTTGTAAAGTTGTTTTTCCTGCATGTTGTTCAAAGGTTGAAATGGGTTCAATGAAGACAATGAAATTTGACTTTAATTCCAACTTACCTCTTTCAGGGGCTGGTTCATGTGGTTTTTCATCTATGGAATAAAATTTATTTATCATTATTTATTATTTTTATTATTTAAGGTAGGGAAAAATTACACCTATACTTGATTCTCCAACCGCAAATCCAGTTATTGTCTATTCCATCACAACAATAACAATTACTATCAACATTGCAGTACCCGCTGCTTACTTGGACTCGAATTCATCCCTGGCAATCAGGCGCAAGCTCGGTGGTCTAGAGGTATGATGGAGATCATTGGTTCAAGTCCCACCCGAGAAAAACCTGCAATTTTTTTCGAAATTACTTTCACACGTATTGAGTATTTAGTACATTTCCACGTCAGGTAGGGCAAAATTACACCTACAGTATACTTAATACATATCTTGTTTTGACATTAAACCCAAATGTTTAAAGGTAACAAGTAAAAAAGCATAAATTAAAACTGGTGATTGAAAAAAAAAATAAAAATAATTCAGTTCCCAATAGTTGTATGCTCCAGTAATTTTAGGTTTACCAAGGGTTTTGTGATGGAAAAAAATCTGTAATATTTACTATTCAACTTAAAATGTTTGGACTAGGACTACCATAGAGTGCTACAGTGTTACGTCACGATACCATGTGAAACTACACCGTTGCTATCGTTGCAAAATGCGTTTTTCTTCACTGACAAACCACTGATCCCAATTTCTAACATAATTATTAAGATGTTGTATCTTAGTTTTTCTTTGTAGATTTTAATTGATGATTAAATGTGTGTTCGATAACATAATATAGTGCGAGCTATTGTGTTTTTAGTACATTTTGATGGTAAAATATTAGATTTTAAGATGCCTATTCCAGAAAGCCTACGCAGGCAATCAGGCGTCTGGTTGGCAACAGAGTGCGCGCGTTGTTGTGACACGACTTTGGTACTATATAAACTACTTACTATAACTGCAAGTGGTGCCAAAGGAAAAAAACCCTCAAAAATTAAATAAAACAATTAAAAGTGGGCATTTAAAACTATTAGACAAACAAATAACTTTCAATAAAATACAGAAAAAAAGTTTGGTTTCTACAAATTAAAGTGTGTATTCAAAAAATTATAATTTTCAAATTAGAGTGAACTATTATACAAAAAGTAGGTTTTTCAAATATTTATTATTTTATTTTCATCACAAGTTAACACAAATTTGTAAAAATTACCTTCTTTTTCAAATTCTGCTTCCATTGGTTCTTCTTCAACAGGAGTTTCTTCAGGTTTTTCTTGCTCTACCTCATTGGTCTCTATGTTTGATGAATTATCAGCACCTAAAATATGAAACATATTTTACTTAATTTAAGGTTACACACAAAAGTTTTATAAACAAAAACAAAAATTAATTATAGTGAAAGAAGACATTTGTGACCCAAGCTCACAAAAGGGCTGTAAACTTGTCCTCAGGCCAAAATGAGTTTTTGTTATAATGGCATAAAACATATCATTTACTTTAAAATGACAGTTAAATGAACTCAATCGGGTGTCTGGAAGCAAAGTTATGACGGTTAATAATTGTCATCTTATCAACTTTCTTAAATTAAGTTTAGAGAAAAATGCTTTTATTTTCAGCAGGTTTCTATTCATTTTTCACTAGCTCCTATCCGAAAATGGCTAAATTTTACCTCTTACAGTTGGAATTTTAAACTCAATCTTCAGGAATAGTAAGATTAAAAGTTATACTTTATTTATTACACAAAAACCCAATTCACACAAAATTCACGTTCTACGTCCTATTCTGGCTATGGAGGCTTGTTTCTCAACACAGTGCGGTGCGAGTTTATAGCCCTTTTGTGAGCTTGGGTCACATTTGTGGTACAAGTTATTGATATGACTGGAACTCTTGTGATGTAGTGTAAAGTTTGATAAATTGTTCAAAAGCGGATTTAGATAAAGTCTGGTCTGGCCACCAATTAAGTTTAGCCTGTAAATTACAGAAGAGGATGTGCTAATGATCAAGGTACAAGAGAGCATTGTTCCCTAGGTTTTGAAGAAGGAAAATTCAGTAGTTTTCATCAAAACATTAAATTAATGATAAAATTAAAAAACATGTTTGTTTTAATAATAACAATGTCAAGTAGATTTCATACACAAAGCTATAATTTACTAAATATTATTTGAAAGTTCGCATGGTGAAGTAATAATATAAAAAATGTGGAGTACGGCACGCATATAATATACTGTATTATCCTTTACTAGAAATTTATAAGCAAATGTTTATATCTTTGATGTGTTAGAAATTGCTTATTGTATTAGATCATCTGCAACAAACCTAGGTCTCCAGAAGGGCCTGCATCAGCTTCATCCCTGTCTCTTATACACATCTAGATGTGTATAAGAGACAGACCATAGAGTGCTACAGTGTTACGTCTGTCTCTTATACACATCTAGATGTGTATAAGAGACAGTTCTTCTTTAGCCAATGAGGCTATTCTGGAGCTACGGCGTGATCCTGATGCTGGGCTCTTAGAGCTCTCTCGTGGTGATTTTCGAGGCATATTCACTTGATGCAATAACTGGGCCTAAAATGATTAAATCAATAAATTATCAACATTCGAAATTGACTGACTATACTTAATAACTGGAGTATAGAAGCAATGAAGAATTGCTACTGAAAAAATCGCATACCAGAAAGTTGCATAGTAAGGCCTGTGCGTGGAATATATCCTCTGGGCTAAAATTTGGCCTAGAAATACGTCCGCGCATTTTAAAAAATAAGGGCCAATTTCTGCGCAGGTTTTTAGATTTTACCGAAAATTAGGCTTTGACCAAATCTTAACATATAACCAATGCAATTATGCAGCACATATGATTCCATACACCTACTTTCCTAGCGGTTTTGCGCACAAATTTTAGCTGATTTTTTAGATATCGTCTGCGCAATTAAAAAACTTTACAGTGGATAGTATACTTGGGCTGGACATTGAAAAAAAAAATAATAGCCTATTCTAGTTTCCCCAATCCCACAGTGAGTGACAATGTAAAAGCATCACCATCTGACCTCTCACACTACTGCTGGGCTCTCACTCAAATTCAGGCTCAGTCACACAAACAGAATGACAAATCAATTCAGCAAATCCATTTTGTTGATTGTTGAACTTGAGCTAGCTGCCAGGACAACAACAACCCTGAACCAACGAGGCCTAGGCCTATCGCTATCTTAATGCCTAAACATGTAGACCTAAAATTGGGAGGCCCAACTCCTTGGACCTTGATAGGCCCTTGCATAACAAACTTAGCTAGGCCTATAGACTGTGGAGGGACAGGCATACATACGAGACGACCTAGGCCTTAGGGTAGGCCTACAGTAGGCCGTAGAAAAGCAGCCTTCTTGGCTGCATTTAGTTAATGGATAGGCCTAGCTAGGCTCTAGCTAACTGATTATAACATCGACAAAAAAGAAGCAAAAATACATACTTAAACCATATAAATACAAATATTATAACTGATATGTTAGCGTTCATACCTTTAATATGTCACAGTAGACTTTGGACCAAATAGAAACCCAATATTTAACCCCAAATTGTTCAAATTTTAACTACAAAGAACAACAACCATTATCACAGGAACACACGCCGCCTCGCTTTCATTACTATGACCTTTGACACAACTTCTACACTTGGCTTACCCCCTCTACAGTTTAATATTCACAAGCATTTCTGTGTTCAGTAATTCGCGAACAACGGCGAAAAAAAATCACATATTGACATTACCAAATGTATCCTTCCACATGAAAAACATATATCACAAGTAGGCTATTAAAAATTAAACCTAAACTTTATAGAAATTCATCGGATTCTCCACAGTTAATTGTATTTTTCCCAATTCGGTGTAAACAGTTTCTCAAACGACTGACAGTCAGCGGCCAACTCACACCAAACATGAAAACAGACACCATGGCTACAAAAAAAAAAAAAAAAAAAAAAAAAATGAATTCGAAAAAATGAATAAAAAAAAAAAAAAAAAAAAAAAAAAAAAATGAATTCGAAAAAATGAATTAATAAAATGAAAGAAATAAAAACAATTAAACATGATTAACCATTTTAATTAAACACTTTGTATTAAGCATCGTCGTTTGAACTTTTAAAACATTTGAACTTTTGTAAATACACTGATAAAATTATGGTACAAAAATATAGTGATAATTAAAAAAAAAATAAACGAATAAATGACGTATTACATAAAGTTACCGATATTACAGCTTGTATCTTTAACTTTAGACACTTTTACTATTATTCTGAGGAAGGAAGTAGGTGATGTCAGTTTCGTTTAATAAATATATTTATGTCCAAAATTATGTCAGTGTCCGGCGCTTGTTTTACCAGCAGTCTTATATTATTTTATACTATCGAGACATACCTGGAGTTA